ATTTTCTAATTCCAGCATTCATTTTGAGGGACTTTTTCAAAATACCCTTAACCCTGTAAATGAATTGTGGAAAAAGAGGAAAGGGGTTCTGGACTTGTAATTGGTAAATGTTGAAACCAGTACTTATTTGATGTTCCTGGGGTCAGCTGGGATCAGTGAGAGACTATTATCCATAGACTATATCAACTAAATGAATGGAGGATCATTCATCATTTTAAATATTTGGAAATCTTACCTTGTATTAAATCAGACTTCTAAGAGAATTTCTTACCGGGGCTTTGCTTTTCACCTCTTCCAAGCCTAGAGTACTGTCTTCAGTCTAGATTGAGATGTTGTAATAAAGAAAAGAGTCCCATAAATTGTCAGACTTACTATAAGGATGCTGTTGAGGACACTATTCATTATATTGCATGATCTGATTTTGAGAAACCATGGGAGAAATGTATCTTTGGTCTTAGTACTAGGAATAGTAATGCCTCCTCTGAGCAACCCAGAGTTATAACTGATCTTGTTTTTCCTTGTTATATCTGCCAGAAAGATTTAAGCAAGTGTTCAGGACCTTAGAACATGTATTATTGCACATTACTTTTCTTGCTTCTATTTTCCTTTTGCCCAAATTTTCCCATTTTAAATTCCATTTTACCTATTATACCATTTTTTCCCCTGAGCCACATAAGTGTTTTAGAAATAAGCAAGGTATAATGTTTTAAAAATATTTTTTTCTTCCCTTATTGATTTGAGAGGAATGGAAAGGGAGAGACAGAAACATCAATGAGAGAGAACATTGATTGGCCGCCTCCTGCATGCCCCCACTGGGGATTGGGCCCCCAACCTGGGCATGTGCCCTGACTGGGAATCAAATCAGTGACCTCTTGGTGCATGGGTCAATACTCAACCACTGAGCCACACCAGCCAGGCCAGCAAGGTATAATTTTTAAAAATATGCCAAATAGCCCGGCCAGTGTGTCTTAGTGGCTGAGCATCAATCCACAAACCAAGAGGTTGCTGGTTCGATTCCTGGTCAGGGCACATGCCCAGGTTGTGGGCCAAATCCCCAGTAGGGGGCATGTAGGAGGCAGCCATTCAATGTTCTCTCTCTCTCCTCCTCCCTTCCTCTAAAATCAAGGGGGAAAAAAAAAAAAAGCCAAATAACTGCCAGTGTGGCTGTTGGTTGAGTGTTGTCCCATGCACCAAGAGGTTGCTGGTTTGATTCCAGGTCAAGGCACATGCCTGGTTGTGGGCTCAATCTCCAGTAGTGGGTGTGCAGGAGGCATCAAATGATTTCATCAATATTTCTATCTCTTCCTCTCTAAAAAATAAATAAAAACATATTTTAAAAATATGCCAAATATATTGACCTTTTTAGTGGTGTACAACAATGTCTTCCCCACCGGTAAGTTCCAAAAAGATCTGTCTTGTTCCTCCAGTGCTTAACCCAGTGTGTGGCACAAAATAGGTATCTGGAAAATTTGTTTTATTAATTAATGTTGATGATTCCCTCTTTCAAATACTCTCATCCCTGGTTTTTGCAGGTACAATTCTATTCCAGTGTTTCCTTTACTGTTCTGGCCCCTTGTTTCCCCTCTATAGATGTCACTTTTTCTCTTTGCCTCCAAATTTCAGAGTTTCTTAGGGTTTTGTTCTTCATTTTCAGCTCTTCTCTTTGTGCATCCCTGGATAACCTAATCTAAACCCAACCCAAGGTTCCAGTTATTACCTGTATGTTGAAGACTCATAAATCATACCTCCAGCTTAGATCTAGGACCTGCATTCCAGACATATCTATTCAACTGAGTCCTAGGCAGCTTCATTTGGAGGTATGAATTAACTTCGAAAAACATAGCCTAACTAAACACATTTCCCCCCTAAATCTGCTCCTACTTTAGTATTTCCCATGATCACCACTGACACTTCCATCTCCTGGTCACTCATGCTAGGAATCCTAGACTCTTTTAATTTACCCACAAATTCATTCAGCTACCCAAATCTTGGATATTCAACTCCCAGAATACCGGGATACATATTTAGACACAGGACATTCAGCAAACCAATCATTTATAATAGCATGAAAGTGGAATAGCCCAATGCCCCCAAATAGAAAAATGGTTAAATAAATTGTATCTCTTGGGGTTTTAAAAAACTATTTAATGACATGGAGAATATCTTATGAGAGAGATAGGTTACATTATTTAATCAGATTTTATATATACCCATAGAAAAAATGGTGGCTTCCTTCTGGTAGTTGTATTGTTAGTATTAGTGGAAGTTCCAATCTCATAGAGGCCTTTGTATCAACTCCTCTGCCTGTGGGATGTTTGTTTTTAAAATTTTTTATTGATTGATTGATTTTAGAAAGAAAATGGGAGGAAGAAACATCGATTTGTTGTTCTACTTATTATGCATCCCTTAGTAGCTTTTTGTATGTACCCTGACTGGGAATCAAATCCACAGCCTTGACATATCAGGATGATGCTCTAACCAACTGACTACCCGGTCAGAGCCTGTCTGGGGAAGGTTTTTCCCACCCTTTGCCTAATTCCTAAATGCATATTCATACTTTGGGTCACATTTAGCCTGAATATTTCCTCAGGAGGGCCTTCCTTTTCCTTCTATCCAAAAACCTTAAACGTTTTCTTTTAGGCATAATGGAAATATTCTCATTGTAACTTACACTTTCCATTCATGGTACTTATCAGTTTGAATCTATGTATCTGTATTATTTCTTGAACGTCCATCTCCCTCCCTGGGCTATAGGCTTTGTAAGAGTAGGGCCTCTGCTTGCTTTGTTCACTATTCTCTAGCACCTAGTACAGCTCCTGGCATACTTATTGAAAAGAATAAATGATCTGCATCAATGGTTTTCTAAGCATGTTTTGAGGCAGTGCCTTATGTGCCATGGCAAGGGACTAAGGAAAATGTCAGTGGTTGCCCATTCCCAGGTCATCTTTTATTTGGGTTAAGTATTGGATTCTGGTCTGTAAAAGGAATCCTAGTGCTTCAGAAAATATCATACAAACCCCTGAATTAGACGATCTTAAGTCTATTCCATCTTCAATATTCTGTGATCCTAGATGAAAGTAAGAAAGCCCATATAGCGATATACTTTGAGAGTGGCCTTTGCTAAAGAGGCTGGCAGTGGTTCATTTTGCCAAAAGCAAGAAAGTTCCTCTTTCCCTTTTTTAGATAAATGATCTGAGGGTCTCATCCCTTTCTATTCATCTAGGACCTATGCCCAGTTCTATAGTTTTATCTCTTTGACTAGCTTCTTTACCATTAATGAAGTGGTCTTTTCCCCCGACCCCTTTAGGGCTTGCTGCAAAGACCCTAGGTCCAATCACTTGGGGCTACTTGTAGTTCCCCTCTCACATCCCCACACACTCTTACTCCCTCAGCTGAGAATGGTCTTTTTCCTCTGCTTTGCAAGGTCATGCTGTTACTCAAATGGCAACCCTTATAAAAAGCCATTTCCAAGTCTTCCTGTTCCTACAATATTTTATTTATATCTCTTTATAGAACTTTCTGCAGTTCAAACTTGGGCAAGTTTCTTAACCTTTCTAAGCCTAATTTCTCATCAGAAAAAATGTGAATAGTATCATGGGCTGGGTTCCACAGGAAGCAGACTCTTACTTGATTTGTGTGCAGATTTATTAGGAAATGTTCTTGGAGTCATCACTGGTGAGAAGGAAGGGAAGGATCAGGCAGAGAGAGAAGTTGAGCTGTGATGCAGTTTTAATGGTATACTTGCAGCTGTTGCAGGTTGTTCTGGAGATGGGATGATCCCAAGTTGGGATGAGAAGGCTGGGCCCTCCAACAATCCTTAGATTGATACTATTTGTAGCCCTGAGTTGATTAGTCATTGGATGTGGCCCCCTTGGGAGGGGGATGACATTATGCAATGCCAGTGAGGTTGACAGCTGAAGGCTGTGGGCAACAATCTTGACTGCTGGGGTAATGAGTCCTCCATTCTTGAAGGGGATCTGAGAAGTACATTTCAATGCCCAACACTAATGGTATCTATCTCAGGACAATTGCAAGCCTAAAATAGGATAAGGTATAAAAAGTACATAGCATATTGCCTGACACAGGACTCAAGTGTTATAAATAAAACCTGGCTCTATAATCATACAGAGGGAAACAGTGTATGTAGGGCTTTATTTTCTTGCATGTTCAAAATAGTTTGTTTTGTTTTATTAGACTAATTATTAAACACTGCTTTGTGCCAGAGGTCTGGGATAACAGCAATGAGCAAAAGTTAAAAGTTCCTGCCTCTCAGGATCTCTCTCACTTTCTTGGTAGCAGGTGACCAAAACATAAGGTCTCGAAGTTATAACTCATGAAGGAATACAAGCTGATAGCCTGAGGGCAGCGGAGCAAGTGTGCTCTTGCGGTCGGAGAAGTCTCAGATGTTGACCTTTGAGAAAGGACTTTATGCATTGAACATCCACGAGTTAAAAGAAATCTGGAAGACGTGTTCTTAACAGAGGGAACAGCAAAGTCCTGAGGTGGATTGAGCCTGCGTGTTGCAGGAACAGGCTGAAAGCCAGAGGGGAGAGCGAGGGGGCCGTGCGGTTTGGGATGAGGTAGGCAGGAGCATCTGTAACATACATGGTTCTTTTCCCAGCGTGAGACCACACTGCTAAGAGAGGTAGGGTGTGCAAATCTCTCAAGAGGCCACAGAGGGCAGGATGAAGCGGATTTCCAGCAGCGGAGCTACTGGGACACTTTTCCTACAAGAATAGGGCCAAGTTAGGCTGTCGCAAGGGATGGACTGGGTCCTGCCCTCAGACCAACCGTCGCCCGGGGTCGGGGGCGGATCGCGGGGGCGGACCTCGGCGGCCCCAAGCCCGTCGGCACTGCATCGGCTGCAGCTACCAGCAGGCGGTGTAGTGAGCGCGCCTGCAGCCACCGCCGCCAGCCCGTCCCAGCGACGAGGAGAAAGGAGGGGACCGGAAGGAGCCGCTGGTACTGCGGGAAGTGGCAAGAGCTGGAGGCGGGGACCCACCTGGAAGCGCCGCGGCCCCGCTGTCGAGCTTCCTGCGGCGGCGGCGCCGGCCACCGGAGCAAGTGCTGTGGCGGGGGCGGAGAGCGGCCACGGCGGCGGCACTTCCCCGAGTGGCCCGCGGAGACCGGCCCCACGAGAAAGGTGAGCAGGCGCTCGGGGCACGTGGTGAAGGCCAGACGCCCGGGAGGGAGAATGGAAGAAGAGGAAGGAACCGGGGATACCTTCGGCTCTGGAACCCGGATTTGGAGTAGAGTGCTGGGAGGGGGTGGACTGGAGGCGGCGGCGGCGAAGCCCCCACGTGGGGCGGGGTGCGCGCGCACGTGTGCGCGGGCGAGAGGGGGGCGGGGAGGGCGGCGGACGCGCGCTCGCTCTGTAGCGGCCCACGTGATGGGCACGTCGAGGATCGGCTTCCACGTGACAGGCTGGCTGAGGCGGAGGGATGCTGTGTGTATAGTCTAATCGGTCCTCGGAGATCTTTAGGATCGTTTGCCACTTTTCTTTTACACTAGGGGAAATAGAATGAGAAATGTAACGCAGATAAGACTTACTGCTCTTTTTCTGTTTTACACGTTTTCAGTCCATTAATGATGCACTCTCGAAATTCTGAACTACTGATTTTCCTGTGCCGCCATGTTGTTCTAGGGGAAACTCGCGAGATACTAGTGGGTTTGTATCGCGAGATCCCTCGATTCTCGCGGGACCTTGTTGGCAGAGCAGTTGTCCTGGATGGCGGAGCCTTGGGTTCCGGCGGCCTGGGACCCGCAACTCTTTCTACAAGGCAAGTTGTTAGGGAGGGGCCGGGAGCGTGTGCCTCTCGGTGCTGGGAGACGTGCTGTGTCAGCTTCCTCTAGTCATTGACCCCATTGAGGCGATACGGTCTTCCTCCCCACCCCCCTGCGGGCGCTCCGCCACCTGCAGTGTGCATCCCTCTGCCCCGGCACCTTCTCCCTCGCGCTGTAGTGGTTCCACCCCGTCCCAACTCACTGGAAGTCTGGAGCTGTGCTCACGCTGACGTGACGATTCCATTGGATACCGTTATTCGTACTTTCCAACGTTCTTGTCAGTTTTCCCCCTTGTTGCCATTTTCTGAAGAATTCCAGACCTGTTAACCATTCTGTCGCTTGTTTCTGCCGCGGTACCTTTCTCCACTGGCCATTCTTAGGCTGAAAACAGAGCGCCTTTCATTTCTTCTCTCTGGCATCATTTACCCCCATTTATTTTGTCATTGACCATTCCTCATCACTTTATTTTTGTATTTACAATAACTTTTGGTAGTATTTGGAGGGAGCCTTTAATGTCTTTGACAATGCTTGATGTCAGAATAAAATTGTCCTTTTAATTTTTTTTGTACGTACGTGCTTTTTTACTCATAATTACTGATGAGATTTTGATTACCGTGTTACAAGGTTGCCATCTTTGATTCAAGGATAGTTTTAGGTTACATATTTAAAGTAGTAGAGGAATGTTTCAAGTCAAATTTTTAATTAAGAGCAAACGTCTCTTCATAAACTTGGTATCAGAGTTTGAGTCCAATTTTTCTTAAATTAATTAGACATCACATTTTTCTCCAACTCTTATCAAAAATGAATTACAGTAGACTTCATATTCTTGAGCATTCTTTGGATTTATTTAGTGTTTTTTGTGGGGAGTTCCTTACAAAACGAATCAGATAACTAAGTAATCCATTCATAGGGTTTTAAAAGTGTTATTTGTCTCATCACTTAATGCAGAGAAGTGTAGAGAGTAAAGGCTCCCTGTTTCACTCTACCCAGTTGCCTTCCCTAGTCTTAAATCTCTGTGACCTCTTAGTGGTAGCTGTGTATTATTTCAGATATTTCTGTGTATTAGTTTGTTTTGTTAAGGAAATGGAGGGGTGTTGTTTTAAGATGCACCATCACAATATTAGCATATTCAGTACAATTTTTTCTACTCAATTACATTTTTATTTAGTGATATGTGCCTGTTGTCTTGATTCATACGCATTCTTGCATGAAAAAAATTTTTTTGTATGTACAGATTTTTGGGTGGTGTAGTTTTATGAAAATGTTTTGGGTGATAAAATTATTTTTGTGCTAGAGATTTAGTATGATGAGCTTGGTAAAAATGAAGTTCCTGTAAAATAGGATTGAAAGAAATAAATATTTTATGACTTGGTATTTATATTTTCATATTTAATATTTGTGTAATATATTTACCTTTATATTCATATGTTTATATTTTATAGTACTTTCATATTGTAAACTATAACCCAAGTATGTGACTAGGAGTTTTCCAGAAGTTTAAAAAGTTAACAGCTCAATTAAAGTAATGTTCTGACCATGAAATGTAGTGAGTTTAACAGATGGTTGATGTATTAGTAGTTAATATAAATATAAATATATGTTTATTCAAAAATCACTAAGCAGCATTTTGCAATTGTTTTGTATTTTTCCTTCCAAGCTTACCAGCAATGTTATTTATTAGACCCGTCACATAAAAAGAAATGTCCACTCTTCCTGGGCAGTGTGTTTTTTATATTGTAATAATTCAGGTAGGAATATTGGTTATAGTTAATAAAAACTATATTTGAAGGGTGTGATGTGGAGGAAAGAAGACATGGGAGTGTATAGATTGATACTGAAATGGAGTTGGAGAAGTTGCAGAGCAGAGAGGATAGTAGAAAATTGACAGAGCTATGGTCCAAGAATAGGCAGGCTGATGATGATTGTTGCACATAAAGCTGGGCTGACCAGAACTTGGAATCAGTATTTGAGGTATTTTTTTCCTGTTAAATAAAATTTTAAGGCAGTTTTCAGTCCTCCCCCCCAAAATTGCTTGATGTCTATATAAAAAAGTCAGCAACTGAGGTTGATATTTTATTGAAACCATATTTAGGTATAGTAGCCCTTTTGTTAAATAACATTTATTTGAATACATTTTATTATTTTTAAAAGGAAATTGTTGCCCTGGCCAGGTAGCTCAATTGGTTAGAGCATTCTCCCTATACACCAGTGTTGTGGGTTCGATCTCATGTTAGGGCATGTAAAGGAATCAGCCAATGAATTGCATAAATAAGTGGAACAACAAATCGATGTTTCTCTCTCTCTTTCCGCCTCCCTCTTTCTCTCTCTAAAAATTAATAAATAAATAAAAAAAGGAAATTGTGAAAACTATAATGGATACAAAGGTTACAACTATAATGGCCTTTGCAAAGGTATCTAGAAAGTTTTGCTTGGTAATTGAGCCTTTGGTAGTTCTCCTGTGCATCTGGTCCTCACAATAATATATGTTCCTTACACTAACAACTTTGTTTTATAAACTGCTTTTGGTAGTGTTCTTGGGAATTACCAGTCTTTTACAGACTGATACAGACTAAATTATCTGAGGTACTGGGAAGAAATATACTAAGAAAATCCAAGGAAGAGGAGAAATGTATCTTACATGATTTGAGTGTGCTTGAGTAAAACTTAACCAAGAAATTTTATTTTCCTTTTTGTCAATTATTACTATCATAGAAGTGATCTATGACAGCTACATGAGCTTCAGTAATCAGATAAAGTTAATAACTGATAATATAAAACTAATTTGTCTTCACTTGGAATTTTTTTCTTAAGATCTAACACAATGCTAATTTCCATAGACCTGTAACTTAGTAAACTATAATGTTATATCTATATTACCTATTAATTATATCAAGAATATACATTTTATTTCTTACCTCTTTTTGAATCAGTGTCCAAGAGAGATTACAGTAAATTATTTGACTGGAAACTTCAATAAAAGTACGTTGCAGCCCTGGTTGGTGTGGCTCGGTTGGTTGAGCGTGCAGTCCCATGCACCAAGAAGTTGCTCATTCGATTCCCAGGCAGAGCAAATGCCCAGGCTGTGGGTTTGGTCCTGGTTGGGGGTGTTTATGGGAGGCAACTGATCCATGTTTCCTACATAGATGTTTCTCTCTTTCTCCCCCTTCTTCTCTCTAAAATCAATTAAAAAGTACATTGCAGGTGCTTATTTTTTTTTAATGATAATATTTTTATTTATTTTTTTGTTACAGATCTTTCTCCTTTTTTACCCCATTGGCACCCCCCTTCGCTTTTTTAAAAATATATTTTTATTTACTTTTGAGAGAGAGAGGAAGGGAGAGAGAAATAGAAACATTAACGTGACAGAGAAACAGCAATCAGCCACCTCCTGCATTGCCCCCCCACCTGGAATTGAGTCTGCAACCCAGGCATGTGCCCTGACCAGGAATCAAACTGGGACCTCTCAGTCCATGGGATGACACTTAATCCACGGAGTCACACCAGCTGGGCACACTGCAGGTGCTTTTTAAAAAAATAACTAAAGAATATTTGCTAGAAGACTTTTAGATTATTCTTTTTCGGTTAATCCTCACCTGAGAATATTTTTTCATTGCTTTTTAGATAGAGGGGAAGGGTGTGAGGGAGGGAGAGAGAGAGAGCATGCGAACGTGAGAAACGTCGATGTGAGAGAGACACAGCTATTGGCTGCCTCCCGAACAACTCTGACTGGGGCTGGAATCAAACCAGTGATCCTTCGGCTGGCAGGCTGTTCTTTCCATTTCTTTCTTTCTTTTTGGTATGTGCCCCTAGCGGGAACTGAACCCGGGAGTCTCTGGTCCACATGCCGACACTCCACCCGCTGAGCCAAACTGTCCAGGGCACGGCAGGCTGTTCTAACTACTGAACTAAACTGGCCAGGGTGAAGACTTTTTTTATTTTTATAGTAGTATTTAATATACATTGTGGTGCAAATTTCTGTAGTTAATACTCTGGTAAGTACTATAATTATACTTAAAAAACAGTATTAGTAAATATTTCCCAAAGTCCTAAGCCTTGACTTCTAAAGTCCATGGAATATGGACTTTGCTATTTTATTTGAACTTGTCTGTCTTGTCTGTCTCACCACTTTCTGTGTGTGTGTGTTTTTTCTTTCTAGCTCTACTTTCTCATTCATGTAGGTGATTTTTGTCTTGTGAGAGACAAGCGAGTTGAGTAACTGTCCCTGAGTAACAAAGAGCATATTCAGTTACGTTATTATGATCATTTTGGGGGGATTCTAGTATATTTATTAGTAATTCAAGGGCATTTTGAGTACTAGTGATACCAGCTACTTGAAACAGCAGGGATCTTGAGCCTTCA